TGGTGTTGCTATGAATCCTGTAGACCATCCTCATGGAGGAGGAGAAGGACGTACAAAAGGAGGCCGAAGGTCCGTTTCCTCTTGGGGAAAACCAACCAAAGGTGGATTTAAAACAGTAGTAAGAAAACAAAAGAATTAAGTTATGTCACGATCTATATGGAAAGGTCCGTTTGTAAATGCCACTTGTGTGCTGCTGGATGGGAACGGTATTGTAGAAGGGTGGGATTTTTTTTCTTTCTTCCGGACCATTTTTCAATTTGTAGGTCTCCCTTCACTACTCTGGACTCTAGAAAAAGTCTGAAAAACATGGAGAGATGTCAGATGCTTGTAACTCTCGATGCATTGCCTGCATAGCTACACTTGCTAAACAACCGCGGACTCTTAAATTTCAAAACTACTACCGGACACAACCACAGAGACACCTAAATGTCACCTTTCACCTTTGTCCATGTGGACTTGAGGTGGACTCTCGAAAAAGAAGGCCGCGCCAGGGGTACGATGAAGCACTATAGAAAAACAGCGAGTTGCAGGTTGTGCACTCTCGACCGTCTGAGGGTTCCTTTCACGAGTGCCTCTTGACAACTCGCGAAGGGGATTTTCGTGAGTGCCCTTCGAGAGAGTGAGGAAGGAGACCCTATGTGTGCCATCCTTGTGCAGGGGTGCCTGTGGTTCTTTTTCTTCGGCCTCGTTTCTGGGCTTCAGATATCATCATGGGACTGCCCAGCCCCAGGTACTTCAAAAATTTGTTCAACCGGTTCCATTTGAAATAAAGCTCACGTGTAGTTGTGTGCCCGTTGTCGAGCGCATCATCTCCAACCTTTTTCGCAAAGGCGAGAGTCGTTCCGGCCATGTCACGCAGGAGTAAACAAAATAAAAACAGAGACAACTTGGGAACGACGCAAAGTATCCCACGAGCCGCTGAGACGGTCGTGGTCGCGTCGTCCCTTCGCCGCTCTAACCGGGTGCGCCAACTGTACATCCCGCAGTCCCCTACGGCAGGATAGGTTTCCGCGGGGCACACCTTATCTTCCCTAAGGGGATGTCACCACCCTTAGGGGCGTATCCCTACCGAGCTACCGACCCACGTGCGAAAGCTTTTAGATGCAATCGCAGAGGTAGATCAACTTAGGGCGTTTGCTCGTTCGTTGTAATATACATACGCTCCGTTAACGCCAAGAAGACCCGAGCGTCGTTCGTTCCTTAGGGCGTTGATCTCCTAAGTACGAAGCTTACGCCGATCGACTACGACGGTCTCAACCAAGCATGAACCCCTCAAATTAATCCTAGTCCCTTAGACAGACAGTCAAAAGAAGGTTAAAACAACCACAAATAATTACATAAAAAAGAATTGACTGTAGCCGATAAAAAAATATATTTAATCTGAAATAATACTAAAAGAATTTGAATCATCATATGGTACAAAAAATTGAAATAAAATCGGATGTCCTCGGGTCGACTCGATAGGCAAAAAAAAATCATACAACAGCCAACGAGGAGTTGGTTTCGACAATAATTTTGATGCAGCCCATATGGTAGTCAGACTGCCTTAGTTTTGACTTGGGGATACACGCTGCCAAAATGATCCATTCAACCTACCCCCGACTTAAGGTTAGATACACTCACATCCATCTCCATAAGTTCTCAATCTTCTTGGATAACAACTGTTTTGCGAATGATTCTTGATCAGGTGCATTGTTTGAAGTGTTGTATGCCTTTCCATTTAGTAAGTGGTCTGGGGTACTCCTCCTCGTCCGAGCACAAGACTCAGATCTCAGAAGTCGGGTCGTCTCCACCGAATCGACAGAATACCCTCGGTAAAACGGTCCACTCTGGGTCGATAACAGGGTCGGCTCTTGAAGCAACGAACCCCTGCCCCAGATGCTTCCTAGAGATAGAGGATGTATCCACTGCAAGTAGCTTTCAGTTATTCATATTTCTCTTGAGTTCAGGGTAACTTGGACGAAAATAAATCAGAGGAGATAAGGAATGAGAATCATTTAGACAGGTAGAGGTAGATAAGGTCATTCGGGATAAAATGGGTAATCCTCGGGAAAAAGCTATAACTCATTTTGACCTTATCCACTTTATTTCAATCGAATTCATATTACGACATGCACTGATAAACCTTCTTCAGAACAACAAGTCCTTTTAATAAGCAGGAAGGCGAAAGGTAGAAAAAATGATGATTTTTTTTTTCCATCTCAAATAGGCATAATCAATCTTTTTTCAAACATCTTTCTACCTACCTACACAGAACATAAAGAAAACAAGTTCAAAAGAAACCAATACAATCCCATACTCGGTCAGACATTTTCGTTCACATGCATAACTCGAACAACTTTCCTCTACCTTTTCTTTTTAACATTTGAAAACAAACAGGGTCAAGCAAAGTGTGGGTTCACCCAGGTGTGAAGGGAAGTCTGAGTCAATCAACTGACCTTGAGTGAAGTTTGGTCTGACTCACTCAAGAAAGTCGAATAATATATCAATCAAAAGAAAATAACCGTTGACGGTCCGCCGTAGAAAAATATGCGGCTCACAACTCCACAAGTTATGGCCTTTCTCCTGAACGACGATCCGTCTCCTTCTCTAAGTGTCCGATCGTGCCAATGTTGGGTTCCCTGAGATGTCTGAATGATATAACCCTCAAAGAGGGTGCTCCCATTATCCAGTCTCATGTCATCCCAACATCCCGGACAGTCTCAACGCAGTCCCCACTGCACCACGTTCTCTTGGACACTCCGCAACCAACCACAAGTTCGCGCCGCCGCCAATCGCTATGTCCACTCACAATAGCCACACCAACTTGCCGGTCCCGATCTCAATATCAATCCCACCTGGTCCCAAAATAATCCCCGATAGTCCCAATGCAGTCCCACACCATCGCCGCAATACCGGATGGTCTCAAACACCAATACCTCTCGCACCGCACGCCCCCAAAAAATAAAGGTGGCCCTGGCTGGAAACTGCATGTGCCGCACGCCCAATAATCACTGCCTTGTGCACTCACTCTGCACTTTCTTCACGCCGCCGGCCCACACACCACTACCACACAATCCCAAATGTGCACTAGTGTTCATACTACCGTCGGATCATGAGAGAATAATCCACCATCATCGCGCACATAAAAAATTAAAAGTGGGACTGCCGCTCACCGCGCCGTCAAAAGCGGTACCATGTCGCCTTGCCAAAAACATTGGCAACACTTCCCCACCGAAGTGCCGTTGTCCCAGCCTGACGGCCGCAGCACCTGCCCATACACACAACGCACGCACATAGGTGGGGCAAAAACTCCCTGCCTCTAGCTATGGCTGCCTCCACCACTTCTCAATTCCCTGCAGACCTCCACTATTCCTCCAGTAGCATCCCTTTCGCGGCACTAATCCCAGATGCAGTCTAGCGGCCACAACACCAAGTGTCGAGGAGTGGCTATGAGCTCCAGCCTCCCAGCTATGGCCGCCGCCTGTCTCTCCCCCAAGTGCTCCTGTAGACCTCCAACATTTCACAAACACTCCCTCACTGAACCAGCAATCAGTCAGCCAACATCTCCTTCAAGTAGAATGCCCCAGCAGCATTGCCACAAGTGTAAGGCTCAGGCTGTTGGGTGGGGAGCTGACTTTTATAGCCAGCCGAAGGCATGTGGGCAGCTGTTTTGCCCACAGCCAAGAAAATTCGTGGGTGCTCCTGGCCCTCGATCTAAATCAACGGCCAGGAGCTAGGAGTCTTGGTTTTGACCTAGGGAAACGAAGATCATTAACCCCGAGAAGCATTTGGCCATTTTCTCAGGCCAGATGCTCCTAGAAATGGCTGTACTTGGCCACTTTACTGTTGGCTGCTCAAAACGAACAGGCACAGTCCCATCAGCTCCTAGAACCTTCTGGGTTGCACCTGTTCCACGGTCGCGACCATATTCAGGGCCGTTTCCACAACTCCGAGTTAATTCGCACTTTCCCCAAGATAAGTCGCCTCTTTCTTCATTTCCAGGACTGCGAGTTGGTTCGCACTCTGTCCGAGGAGTTGTTATTTTTCCTCCCAACTCACTCTGTTAGAGGAGTATTGTTTTTCCTCCCCCTGACCCAATTGTTGTGACTTCGTGTGCATTTCAAAAACCCATCTGGTACATCATTTTGGTCCTTCATTTCCACGACTCTGAGTTAGTTCGCACTTTGCTGTTGTACTCTTAGGCAAACCTCGTAGCTTTCCTCCCGGTCTCCGATTAAGTCTAGGGTTGGGTGTAAAATGGCGTCTGCGAAGAATACATCGACAAGCGTTGGGGCGCCGGCCTTCGAGGAGGGACGAAGTCTTCCGCAATCTCCTCCTCAATATTTTCATTCAAAGGATGCACAATGGTTTTTGGACTTCGTTGTTGACGGGAAACCTGCTGGCCCAGCTGTTTTCATGAGGCCCGCGGCCTTTCCGGACGCTAAGGGAGTAGCCGACGTTCATCCTGTCGGTACCATCCTTTCGTCCCAGAAACGGTCTGGAGGCTTGCTCAAGTTGTAGACCAACATTTTCTACGGCATATGCAGACTACCTTACAAAGGTGTCAAGGGTGTGATGGTTTCGATCAAGAATTTGGCGGGGTACGACTCGAACATGCTTCGTTGCCATCACTTCAAAGGGCTTTACGATAGCAAAAGCAGGCCTCTTCCACCTCCAGTGGAATATGTCGATCTTGCACTGAAGGTGCCAAAAGAGTATCCGATTCTTCCGCGAGATTATGTTTTTCGGTTTCTACCAGGCCCTGAGGGGTCGTCCGGCTTAGCTCAAGAAACCCTTCGACGAAAGTGGGGCACGGGAGTATCATTCACGACACTAAGGGTTATGGCGTGGGGCACGCGGGCATGAGTCAGCCGCAGGTCAGCCCGACTCCTTCTAGGTGCGCATCTGCCGATCCTGTGCCTTCCTCGACTTCTCCAGATGCAGGCACTCATCGGGTCGCCACACCGAAAATCCTCAAGTTACGCTGCCAGGGTGACACGTATTCGCTTTGGGACGAGGCGAGAAGAGAATCTGGCAGTTCATGACAAGAGGTTGAAGGGATAGGCGTTGTGCACGACAGCTCTGGCAAGGAGCCGACTTCTTCGGAGAAGAAGCGCGAGCCACAGAAGACGATACGCGATGAGGTGGCGGAACAAACCAGATACATGAAAAGGATGAAAAGATTCTCGGAGCCGATGATTGACGAGGATGAAGGTGACGTCGGAAAACGTGCCTTGGGAAAAAGGACGCCAAGGATGTGTGGCGGAGAAGAAGAAGAAGTAAATAAGAGGCAGTCGAAGCAAGAAGCTTCAACAACAAGTAAGAAAGCGAAGAGGGACGACGGTTTGACCATCGGCGAAGGGCAAGCTATGAGTGGAGGAGATTCGACTCGTCAAGGCATTGCCGCCGCGAGAGAACCTTCCCAGAAATCTAAAAGAAAACTGACAGCTGAAGAAGGGGATCGCCAGAAGAAAACTCGCAGGAGGAAGACTGGTGAGGGGACGAGTGGTGGCGAAAGGACGGTTGGTAAGCAATACAATGAAGCGGCGGCGTTTTGGCTCCAATACGAGCGAAACGATGACGGTGAGATCGTGGAGAAGGAGCACCCAATTCAACTGGTTATCGATCCGAGGAAGGTCTGCGATATCCCGCCATGGGAAAGATATTATAATCACCGCAGTCTCACTCGGGATGTTGTGGAGGACATCAAGAATGCAATGCTAAGGCAGTTCCGCGAGGAGAAGGCAAATATATGGACGGAAAACGCTTTGGTTTTGGCTCCCATATACAAGCCGGTGACGCAGAAGCCGAAGAGAGCTCAGAGGGTTCACAAGGATGTCTTCAAGCCAGAGGACAAGGACAAATACTTCTATGACCCCGTGAATGGACAACACACTGTGACTTCTGTGAAGGAATTGGATGGTGAGCCAATATTCGAACTGTGGAAGATGCACTCGTGGCCAGCGAGAGTTGTGTGGTTCTCCGATGAAGACTTTGGGGGGTATTTGCAGGTCAGTCTAGCGGAGAACACAAGACACACGATGTCTATGCAGCGTTCGCAGAAGGCCGCTTTCGAGGACATGCGGGAGGCATGGGAGAAGCAGGGAAGGTCGGTGGCTATTCCAGGGAAGGCCGGTGGCTATTCAAGGAAACCCTTCTAGTAAGGAGGCCGAAAAACAAGTGTTTTTCGAGTTCCAGAAGCTGCTTTTGGGAAAGAGTCCCAACGACGCTCATTGGAGGATGACACGTAAAGCGACAACGCTCGCCGACAAGGACAAAGTTGCGGCTATTTGCAATGCATTGAGGCAATGGATGCCGCTTGTGACAGTCGGTGATGAGGTTTTCCGGAAAGGGATGGATTTTTACGATAAGTGGGACGAGGGAAAGTTGTTAGGCGGAGACGGGAAAACGTCGTTGTCGAAGCCTGGCAAATACATGCCAGACAATTTTTCTGGGCTTCAAGCGATTCTGGAAATTGGCGTGAAAGGGGCAGCTGGTGAGACAAAGATGAGGTGGTTAGTCCGGGTCCCTCCGCCTCAGACAAAAAAGAAAACGCAATTGGACGACAATTTTTTCGTCGTCGTGAAGGAGTCAGACATGTTCTGTTGGCAATCTCTCGCTGACATGACCGATGATGAAAAACTGTCGATCCTCGATTACATTTTCGTGCTTAAGGGAGAGTTCGTGCAATCGGCGGGCGAACATTTCAAACGACAACATAAGTCGGAAATTAAAGAGATGGTTGCGACGAGGACAGTGGATCGAATTTTGCTCCGAATGTTCCACTACGTCTTGTTCCTTGAATTTGAGGAGGATGCCGAGGTTTGGCGCTATAGAAGCCAGTTTTTTCAGACCGAACAACAGCTTATGGCGGAGTTCGCGCCACAGGGCCTCACAAAGCAGGTGTGTGTCGAACCGAGGAAGCATTTCCACGACGCGATGGACTACATGAACACTTGCAAACGTTGCCTTCTGTACGAGAAGGAGTCCCTCGACGAAACAAAGAGATTGTATGATGATGACAGGTTTCCTACATCTTGCGAGAAGTTTGTCCGCTCCATCTTGCAACGAACAGAGGAAGCGGGGATGTATGGCACATCAAATGGCAGAAGCTCAACCACTTTACCGACCTTGTTCCTTTCGGTTGTTTGCCTTTCCAAACTCACATTCCTCTCACTAAGATCCGCGATATTGTGCGACATTACGTATGCAACTTGTAAGTCCTCGATTTGTGTGATCCCACACTCCTGTCAGATTGGCAAGAAAGTGATTTCGCCTCCTTGCAAGGCGTTTTCCAAACCCTGTCGCCAAGGCACTGGACACTTGTGTTTTTTTTCCCATCGCGTTGAGAGCTCAGTTTCTTGAAAGGCATGGCCAAGCTTAGCATTCATCACGTGAGGACAGGGAAGTGGGTGCGCCATGCATAAAGGAAGGTCACAATCCAAGAAGGCAATATGCTGGCCGAGGAATATGAGCGCTTGTACGTCGTTTTCAATGGCGAGAACTTGGCAGACAACACGGTCGCAATATTCCCGTCCGGTAGTCTATCGAAGCGCCCCGTGCGAATGCTCGAAGTCCGGCCAAACCCGCGGGGGCGGCCCGCTCGAAAGCTGGTTGTTCTTCCGACCCTTTGGGCAAGGCTGTGGCCTGTTTCGACGTGGCAGACGAGGACAAGTTCCCTTGCAGCCAGTGGGAGGACAGCGGTGTGGCAAGTGTTCGAGGACCTGCTTACGGGGACAAGGAACGGAACCCAGCTCATCTAATTGGTCTACTCGAAAACTTTTGTAGAGTTGGGCAAACTGTTTTCTTCTTCGGGAAGGCGCATGCATCTGTCGTGTGGGAGCTCCTGTGTAGCGGTCGGAACGTCGTTGCGTTAGAGGAAGAGGCGAAAATGATCGATTACCTTCACAAGTTCGTGAAGCTACGCGTGGGAGACCCTCGCAACCATTGCTCTTTTGTCGAGACCACCAGCGAACGGAACTGGGATCCCAAACATGATATGTATTCGAAATTGTTGGAGAAGAAAATGATGGAGGTTTTGGAGTTCCTTTTCCAACCAGAACCGCCTACTCAGACCGACCTGGAATACAATCGATGGAGAAACCTGGTGTTCGGTGTGCTGAATGCTTACCACGGTGCACCCAGGGAGTCTGTCTGAAATTTCCTAAGAAGGCTGGAGCACGTTTTCTTCTTGATGGCAAAACCACTAACCCTCGAGAACTACAAGGCGCGGTTTGACGAGGACGACCCTTTCGACGCTGAAGACATGGAGGAGGTGAGCGACTCCGAAACCTTTGATTTCGAGTCCATGCCACTTCCTCGGGTGGTGACACAGGTTGATGATGAAGGGGAAGGTGGTCCTCGAAGATATAGCACGTCCCCTGCCGGTTTGAAGCGTGTATTTGAGCGCTACACAATCGAGGACCAATCGTTTGATGACGGGGAAGAAGAGGGAGACTATGAATACGCACCTGTTGACGAACTCCCTAAGGACCATGATACCTGGAAAAATGATAGGCTCTTCTTCTACGAGAAGCACCACCGGTTCACAGCACAGGATGTATGGGGCCACAACGTCGTTTGACACCCCAGGAAATTCCAACCTGCTGTAAAGAATGGAAAGTGGGTCATGGCAGTAAAGGAAGATGACGACAAGTGTAGTGTGCTGAAAAGACTGGGAGCGGGTCGATTTAAGAAAAGGCCAGAGAAGCTCTAGTGGAGCATTTGAGTGTAGTAAACCCCGAAAGGAGCCCACATGACGTCAATGCGTATGCAGGCCAAAAGCTCGACGAGCTCTACGACAACAAAATGTTGAAATTTCGAGCGTCTTTCTACACACTCGAAACGACACCGTCTCGTTGCATTGATTGGCACATGCCTCAACCTCCGGCCGGTGGTCAGCATCCGGGAGGCGGTGGAGGAGGTGACGGAGGAGACGTCTCAGGATCTGATCTGTCAGAAAGTGGTAAGGCGAAACCTCGTCGGAATCAAAGGGCTCCCTGAGCATCTGAGTGTAGTAAACCCCGAAAGGAGCCCACAGGACGTCAATGCGTATGCAGGCCAAAAGCTCGACGAGCTCTACGACAACAAAATGTTGGAGTTTCGAGCGTCTTTCTACACACTCGAAACGGCACCGTCTCGTTGCATTGATTGGCACATGCCTCAACCTTCGGCCGGTGGTCAACATCCGGGAGGCGGTGGAGGAGGTGACGGAGGAGACGACTCAGGATCTGGTGCTGACAAAGCAGAGGGGAAAGGATCGGGCACAGAGGGTTCTGGAGAAAAGCGATCTGTCGGAAAGTGGTCACGCGAAACGTCATCGGAAAAGGGTCCGGCGGAAAGGGGTCTGGCAAAAAGGGGTCGGGCGGAAAGCGTAGAGTGTTCGGGAGTCACGAGTCTATGGGAACTGAAAGCCACTACAAAGGGAGTCGCGATTCTAACATGCGAGACGAGGCCGCCCTGAGGTCTTATCAAGTGCAAGTAGATTCGCACTTGTCTGCGAGGATTTTGTTTTGCGATGTCGAGGAGAGTTCGTGCCACAGTACGCAGCTGGCGTATCCTGTGGACGACACCTTGCTCCTGCACCTCTTGGAAGAAGGAGAACGTCTGCAGCGTACGACAACATCTCCTGAGCGGCAAAGCCATTCCTTACCGGGAACTGCGTTTTCGTTTTGCCTGGACGTCAGGATGCCTGCATTGCGAAGGAGCGAAGGTTCCAGTGTCAGTTCCCTCAGCTATGGCGAGCACCGCAAAGTCCTTATAGATTCGGAGTTACTGACGTCGCCCTGCGGGCCGTCCGCCAGTAGTGCTCCTTACGCTACACTTCTGGGGGACGAAGAAAATGTGAGGTCCAACCCCCCGCATCTTAAGTTGGGCACAGTGTTCCCCTGCTCACTGTCGTTCTCTAATGTTGAGACTCAAGACTGGCCGTCTCGCAAAGTGCTGGAGGTGCCCGCTGCAAGAGCGTTGGAAACCAGGGCTAGCGAGTATGAATGTCATGCTTCGGAGGGTGCGTCCATCGATTTTGACAGCAAGAGTACAGCAGCTGCGGGGCAAGTGGAGCTCACACAGAAAAGGAGGGGCTCGATGCAGGAGTGTTGGAGACCAGGGCTAGCGAGCAGAATGTCATGCTTCAGGGGGTGTGTCCGTCGACTTTAGAGCAAGAGTACAGCAGCTCCGGGGGTAGACGAGCTCTCACAGGAAGCGTATGATGTGCAGCGGGAAGAGGAGACTCAACACTGGCAGCCTCACAAAGTGTTGGAGGGGCTCGATGCAGGAGTGTTGGAGACCGGGGCTAGCGAGCATCACTGTCATGCTTCGGGGGGGGTGTCCGTCGATTTTGAGAGCAAGAGTACAGCAGCTCCGGAGGAAGAGGAACTCTCACAGGAAGCCCATGCTGTACAACAGGATGAGGAACTTCATTGGGAAATACCATCAACATTGGGGACACCGGAGAGGTTTCCCACAGTGAGTTGCCACTGACGACTCAAGAGGGTGACGTTAAGGGAGGTCAGTGGACGTTTGTGGAAGGCAAAGACCGTGGGGAGGAAGGACGTGCGTGGACGTTTGTGGAAGCTCAACTTCTTGGTGAAGAGGAAGGCGAAGAAGAACCCGTGGTGGAAGCTCGGCTTCATGGGGATGAGGAAGGCGAAGAACCCGTGGTGGAAGCTCGACTTTTTGGCAGTGAGGTGGCGGTCGGCGTCCAGATGGATCCAAAGAGGAAAGATCATGATTCTTCATCCACCCTATGCGGTGAAGAACAAGGTGATCGAGCGTCTGTCCTGAGTACCGGTCGGAAAATGGTACTTCATGAAGCCATCGAGTTGGTTAACGACTCAGCTGCCATCGAGCTGGTTAGCGACTCAGTCGTGACCGAGCTGCAGAACATCGAATCCTCCGTGGACGTTGGCACAGTGGCGCGACAGGAGGCCGATTCCCTCGACGGACTTCCGACCACTCTAAGATTTGTGAATAGTAGCACTCGCATATCTGTCGTTGTTCAGCTCTGTGGTCATCCAGATTGATATGATGGGCTCATGTAGCAATTACCAATTTACCACTTGTTAAAAAAAAGCTTGTGGGTTGTGGGTTGTTTTCTATGTTTTACAGGTGTGATGTTGTCAATGTCCCTGCCCATGAAGCCTTCAAAAGCTATGCGCGAGAAATCTTTTTCAGGGAGGTCATTGACCGCTTTACCGAAGAAGTCCTTGTCAAGTGTAGGGTTGTTTAAAAGGGTCCAGATGCCTCGTCTTTCCGAGAGAGCTGTCAAGGTTTTGAAGGCTTGTGGAGTAGATAAGGAGGAAGCTTTGCAGAAACATGTGGCTGCATCTATTGAAAGCGTTACTGTTTTATATGACGGGTTTGATGACGATGCCAAACGGGGTATCATCAAAGATCCGTATCCTAAGTACATCGCCAAGGATAAATTCAGCAGTCGGGGTTATAACTTTCTAGAAAAAGGCAAACAGTTTTTAACCAGTTCGCCCCGGGGGTTAAGCTGGTTTTGGCGGCTCCTCACACTTGTTCGTGAGTGTTTGTGCCGCTGCTGCTATATCATCTTTTCTCGTATCGTTGCCTACTGAGGAGCTTAGCGATTTAGACTTGAGAATGTTGCAGGACGTCTGCGGAGATTTCAGCACCGGTCACGAGGTGGTTTCCTCGATTCATAAAGGTATCAGTTGTATTCTGTTGAGCAGAAAAAATCTTCAGACTCTTGTCCAAGGGGGATGGCTTTGCGACGAGGTGGTGGAGTTTTACTTGGCCTTGGTTGGAAACACTACTTTGTCAGGGTGTCCCTCTGTTTATACTTTAAGTCCGTTTTTCTATACCAAGCTCGTCGATGAGGGATGTCGACATGATAGGGTTGCGAGATGGACAAAAGATGTGAATATTTTTTCGTACGACATGCTAATCATTCCCGTTCATAAAAATCAAGTGCACTGGACCCTATTATGCGTCTGCGAAGGAAGCATGGAGTACTACGACTCCCTCTTACAAGACCATGACAGTTTTGTTTCCCATGTTTTTGGCAACTTCACGAAATACCTCTCTAACGAAGCAGTTCGTCAACTTGATCAACACAGGAAACTACTTCTCCCGGACCCCAAGGTGGTTGTTCATTGTGTCCCTCAGCAGTCGGTCGGGTCGAGCTGCAGCGTTTTCATGCTCGCTTTCGCTTCTTTTCTGGCACGCGGTCATCCGCCACCATTTCCGATAGCCCAAAGCGATATTCCAAACACCAGGCTGAGGATTGCGGTGGACATACTCCAAGGCTCAGAATAATACCCCTATTTTAAAAATACGCAAAGTTTTTTATTCGCGAGGCCATAAACAGAAGTGCGAATCTATTCCCACTTAGTCTAACAGACGACCGACTCGAGCTGTGGTGTTGTTTTGATGAGGTAGAGGATTGCAGTGGACGCTTTGATCAAGTACACGCTTACATGACGATGTGAATATCCCAGCCTCGTGCTGCAGTATATTTTAAAGTTCTTCATTTCGAGCAACCTGACAGCTTTTTACGTAAGACTTTCTTTGACCTTTTTTTTTTTTTTTTTTTTTTTTCTGATGTAAATGTCGCAGTCTCGTGCAACGTGTTTTTAAGGACCCCTGCAGCACCGTGCTGCCTTCGTTTGTTTTCATGTTATTCTTTTTCCTTGTCGTCCAACACCAGCTAGAGGCTTGCAGTCGACGCTTAGGTCACGTACACGCTTAGATGTCGATGTAAATATCCAAGCCTCGTGGTGCAGTATATTTTAAGTAGACGCTTAGATGTCGATCTGAATATCCTAGCCTCATGCTGCCTTTGTTTGTTTTCGGGTTATTCTCCTTTTGTCCTCTACGACCGCGGCAGCGTCGTGCTGTCTTTATTCGTTTCCAGGTTGTAATCCTGTGTTAATCATGGGACAGTCTTTGTCCTCTTGTGAACATTCTTTACACTCGTGCTCATAAGATTCGATACTCTGGTTCATTTAGCAAGATGTTGGTGAATGATATCAATGATTTCTTCTCAGTTGTCAAATTACGTGCGACTTTGTGGTCTGAAAGCTCCCCCCCCCCCCCCAATTTTTACATATTTTGGCTCACCCCTCTTCTGTGCATACCGCCCCATTTTTCGGTTCACCCCCTCTGTTGTACCTTCCTCCCCGCAACCCCCCTCCTTTCGCCTGTCCCGTCTTCTGTAGCCAAGGCCAATTTTTTATGTGTCGTGAACGCTTTTGTCTCCACTAAATGTTGACTGTTGCTTCCATATGACAATTGCGAACTTATTCGCAATTCGGAAACCAATTATCGCCAGAATGTATGTATGTTTGACGTTACTTTAAGAACTCCAGAAAATTTAGTGGTACAGTAAATGATCACCAATTTTGTTATCGCCAGAATACATGTGGTAGTCTCCACTGAATGCTGACTGTTGTTTCCGTATGACAAATGCCAACATATTTGCAATTTGGAAGCCATAGATTTGTTATTAGACCGTTCATATCTACAAAATTGCCAAAATGATTAACTTTTGTGTTGTTACCAGAAATTTATTCATATATGCAAGTTCGCCGAAATGATCATCAATTGTGTTATTGCCAGAATGTATGTGTGCTTGACCCCTGTGCTTCGACGTTGTTTGTCGCTCAAGGATCGATATGCGGCATTCGCCAAAATGGATGATTGGTCAAAATTGTTACCTTTTGTGTTGTCACCAGAAGACTGATCATTTATGTCAATTCGCAAAAAATGATATTTTGTCGAAATGATTACCTTCTGTCTTATCGAAAAAAATGGATAAATCGCGAAAAAGTTTGTCATTTGTGTTATGTCTTGCTGATAGGGAAATTGACTCCTCCAGCTTGGCAAGGTCGGCATGCCACAAGTACTTCCTCCATATTGTTGATATTTTTCCTGGAAGGATCACGAACAAATCTACAAAGCCTCAAATTTTCAGAATTTTCTGTGAATTCTTCTAAGCGTGAAAAATCGTCAAAGTTGCCGCTGTCAAATTGCGAGACTAGGCCCGCCGTTTCGGCCTCCGGTCGCCGCCCTCCCTAAGAACCCGCCGGAACTCACAGGGGGGGCTATTTCCTGATGTCGGAGGGAGTGCTGGTTTAAAGCGCCTCCTCACCTTTTCCGAAGACTCACTGTGCAAAAACATGTGCGAATTGATTTGTAGTTTAAGATTCTCTCATCCACCTTTGCTCAATGGAATTTATAATTCGCTTAGAACACCTCCTCACCTCTTACGACTACCGCTTCTTAATTCAGAGGCAACCTTTGTCGCACCTTCACAATAACGGTGGCGTGACCTTGACATCCCTTATCGCACCATCAAAGCATCAGTCGACGTGATCGCTTTTAGCCTTTTGCAATTCCCGATGCCCATTCCTTTTCGCTAAAAGGGGTCAACAACGGGTCTGCCATGGGTGAGCGAGCGTGAAATCCAGTTGCAATCTCATATAATGCGGAAATGACCGTTAAAAACGATTAATAACCGTTGGCGCCTGTACCGTGAGTTTTCACTCACCTTTATGTAACGTCGGATACCAGACCTTGAAAACGTGTGATGCCTTACCCCTGCGCTTTGATTTTATTCCGCACTCAACTGTCGTATTGACGGATAAAGATGCACAAGAATTGCAATGATTCACATCTGCGAGAGTGGGAACTGTATGATGCATCACAATTGTCAGGCTCAATGTGGGCAAGACACTTATATACGAAATAATTTCGCGTTTGAAATTGGGTCCTCCAACTTTGCTGACAGACATTACTATCCTGCTTACAACGCCTCCTGACCTCTTCCAATGACTTAGTGTGTGGCATTTCTATTCCGCTTACAACGCCTCACCACCTCTTCCAACGACTAAGTGTGCGGAAACATTTGGGAAACAATTCGTAGTTTAAGATTTCGTCCTCTACCTTTGCTCGCAGGAATTAATGACCCGCTTAGAGCGTGTGCGGAAGAATTTGCGAATTAATTTGTAGTTTAAGATTCACTCCATATTTAGAGGGTTGTGGTGTTGAGGCTCAGATTGGAGGAAAACAAAACCAAGTGATCATTTTATATTGTTCAAATGCCGCTCACCTCGAAATCAGCCAAAAGGGCAGAATGTGATTTCAAGGGGGTTAGGGTGTTGGGGTAGGGGGTGGTGGAGGGGAGGGTCAGCAAGTGTCATAGGCCCTGTTACAAGTTGCAGGTTCAACTTGATGGGAGCACTCGAACAAACCTGGAGTTTATTCTGAGTTGCAGAGCGGTCGCTCCAAAAGGCTACCTCGAAAATAGCCATCAAGGGAGAAATTCGATGTCACAGTGATTTTAAGGGGGTTGGTCACCGTTGGTGTGCTGGGGTGAGGCGGACGGTCGGTAGGTGTCATACGCCCTGGAACTGGTCCACGCACCGAAAATAGCCAAAAGGGGAGAATGTGACTTCCAGGGGGTTAGGGTGTGGTCCACTCACCTCAAAAATAACCAAAAGGGGAGAATGTGACTTCAAGGGGGTTAGGGTGCCGGGGTAGGGGGTGGTGGAGGAGAGGGTCAGCAGGTGTCATAGGCCCTGTTACAAGTTCCAGGTTGATGGGAGCACTCAAAGAAACCTGGAGTTTATTCTGAGTTGCAGAGCGGCCGCTCCAAAAAGCTACCTCGAAAATAGTCAACAAGGGATTCCGAGAAATTCGATGTCACAGTGATTTTAAGGGGGTTGGTCGCCGTTGGTGTGCTGGAGTGAGGCGGAGGGTCACTAGGTGTCATAGGCCCTGGAACTGGTCCACTCACCTCGAAAATAGCCAAAAGGGGAGAATGTGACTTCCAGGGGGTTAGAGTGTGGTCCACTCCAGGGCGTTGGTCCACTCACCTAAAAACTAGCCAAAATGGGAGAATGTGACTTTCAGGGGGTTAGGGTGCTGGGGTAGGGGGTGGTGGAGGGGAGGGTCAGCAGGTGTAATACTCCTTGTTACAAGTTGCAGGTTGATGGGAGCACTCGAAC